TTGTAAATATACTCTCAAGTCAACGGTTGAAGAAACTAGTTCAAAAGAATAGCAACCATAAGAAGTCCGTTTTATTCCTGATCATACAAATGGAAACACAAGAACCCTCTATTACTCCACTCACCCTTGTTTCAGATACAAGTAGAATTCCAACTGAGGCAAAGGTGATTCTCAGATTTAAGATGAAATAAAATACGATTGACAGGCATATCATTTCAGTAACTAATAATGTATCAACCAAATTGTAAGCAAAGACACAGTGGGTCTACTAGAAGAAGTTCTGCTGGTCATGCCTTAGCTATAGGTCAGCCTAGGATTGAATGCAGCAGACTACAGCTGCCAATTAGTGTTACTTGGTTAAATAGTAGTCCTAAGTCTGGGTTTATAAAGAGATATAGGCAGATTGTTTAGGTGGCTTTTAGACTCGGTAGAGTTCTAAGTTCCCGATAACAAACCTAGGGTCCTATTTTAGGTTCTTGATGCCTTTGATTCTCTGGGTATACATCAATTTAGAGAGAAACCATTTCCAGTCTTATCACAAACTCAGTAAGCAGTAAACCACAAAAGAAAAAGGTGAAAAGAAAGAAACCTCTCCAGAAGGGATTCGCGTGTTCTGTTTCACAAGGGAACCAGCAGCAACCATGGCATGTTTCTCAACCACAACACCATCAAGTAGTGTAGCTCCCATGCCAACAAAAGCCTCATCCTCAACAGTACACCCATGAATGACAGCACTATGACCTGCTCAGTTTCATTTTACAGCCAGAATATCTAATTAACAATGATGCAACAACACAACATAAAAAAGATACTTTAAAACTGATAAGTCACTTTTCAAGGTTTACCTACTGTTACATTGTCCCCAATTAGTGTAGGTAGAACCTTGCCACTTATGTTGGTTTTCGCAACATGTACAAGCGTATTGTCTTGGATATTCGTCCCGGATCCAACACTAATGTTATTCACATCACCTACACAAGTTTAAACCCCAAATCAATAAACAAGGACGTCTCCAGCTACTTCATGAAGTCTAAGAACCAAGGATTCCCGGCGAAAACTAACAAAGATGATCGGTACGGTTATCGATAACAAAGCAACATCAAGATTAGAAGGCAAAGAGAAACTTCATTTCCTCTCACCTCGAAGAACACAACCATACCAAATGGAGGAGCCTTTTCCGATCTGAACATCACCAATAACAGAAGCACTCGGAGCAACAAACACATCTTTATCAACCAATGGAGATTTATCAAACACATTCATCAACGTCCGATGCCTCGACACTGAAAACAAACAAACACAAATTTCTCGAATCAATCTAAACCACAAATTTCTCCAAATCAAAGGATTTTTTTCCGGTGAAGACACAAATTAGAGATATAGAATTGGATCTAGGGTTGAAGAGAGTGCAGCAAGAGGAAGGATCTGGAAGCTTACGATGTTCCTCGATGCGGTGGCTTCCTTGAAGAAGAGAACCAACGCGATCAAGAGCTTGACCAGTTCCACGAATCCAGTTACCCACAGTGTAAATTGCTCGTCCTAGGGTTCCCATTTTTGTGATTCTCCGATGATTAACCAAAGAGACGATTGTGTGAAAATGACAAGGCTTGCTTTTTTGGTGTCGAGAGAGGTTTATGGGAGGCGTTTGGATGGAAGGATTTTTTTTTTTTTTACTCAAGTGAGTTCGTTTTTGTTGACCTCTTGAATTTTTTAGAGTATGGAGTGGTAAAGCTAAACCAAACCAAATCGAATTGAGCCAAACCAAATCGGATTGGTTGGTCAAAGACTAGTTGCAATATTAATATTTTTATCTTAGTTTTTTTAAAAAGTAAATACATCATCAACGGACAAAAAATGTTAAAAGTTGTAAGTATTTCGTTTCTTGATATAGGCTGTGAATGGAAATATCAAAGCCGTGCGGTTTTCAAAATTTTATTAAAAAACGTTTCTAAGTTACCAATCACAGTTTTTCATTTATATTTTGCGTTTTTGATAATAAGAATATGAAATACGCGCACAGATTTCTATACCTCACAAAAAGTTAAATCCACTTTTTTTTTTACCCACAAGTAAGGGTCCGAATGGTAACAGCGTATTTGATTGTGCGGGAAAAGCGATTTTATAGTGCGGTACGGTTCAACTGCGGTACGTACGGGAGAATTGTATTTGCGGGACAAGTGCGGTTTTTATAAAATAAGCGGTCCAAATTAATGTTTGACTGGTGAAAAAACTATTTGCGGTACACAACTAAATGTGTGAATGGCAAAACAAGAAAAAAACGGTACAGATTATATATTATAATAAATATATTAAAATATTATTATATTAATAATTAGTATAATTATATATTATTGTTTGTTTGATGCTAATTAAAAAAAAACAATTTCATACATTTATAATTTTAAATATCCAAATTGTTGACCACAATATTTTAATTCTTTGACATACATAATGTTAAATCAATTAAAGAGTTAATCATTAAAAATACAACACTTTAAAAAAAACTACTTGCAGTATACAATAAAATGTTATAATTAAAAATTCATAAATCAAATTAAATAAGATATATATATATATATTATTTTAATTTTTGATATCTTAGTAAACTAATTTTAGTTAGTTTTGAACTAATTAAGCTTTTTAAAAAAGTGAACTAAACACAAAATTTTACGAAACCGAATTAGACTATTTTGTTATGTATTTACCATACAAAGAGACCACGCGGCTTGTGTGCCCCTTGGGACCTCTTACCCGCGCCTCACATTGCTAGATTTGCGAATTTCATTATCA